GAAGATGGCCGATCTGTTGGGATGGACGAAGGAGGGTCGGTATAGGCTACTTTCAACCAATCGATTGATACCACTTCGGTGCGATCGCCACGGACGTTTTTGAAATGCCTTTCCGTGCGCGACAGGATTCGAAATGGTTCGTCGTAGGACCACTGTAATGACTTACGAGCGCCAACCACGCGGACAAATAGAAAAGAACATGTTAGAAAGTTAGGACCAATATATGACTAACTTGCTTGAACGTGTGGGGGTATAACCCGGAGAGAAACCATTGCTTTGTGCGACCATTGGACGTAATCGGTTGCGTCCAGATCGGTAAAGCCTTGGGATGGCCCGAAAAAATCATCGGGACTCCGTAGGGCAGTCCCGCAAAAAAGTTCGGCAGTGGAGCACTCCAAGTCTGGTCGAGCCGCTGATTTAAAATTCTAAGATAAGTGAAGGATATTATTTTGAGTGGTTTTTCTGTGAGACCTAACGATTGTAGCCCCTGTTTTTTGGTTGAATTTCCTTAAATACAGGCCTCTTATCTCAGAACTGCCCGCTGCCATCTCCTTTTGAGTTCTGCTAGTCTATACCTGTTGTTCACTAGTCGCACTCTGCAATTCTCATTTTGTGCATCCGATTTCTCTCTAACTGTTGTAATTTATTTTTACATCGTTAGCCCCTAGCTGGAATTCAGTCATCTTGTCTGCCAGAAGTTTTCTTAATCGCTACTTGCCTCGAGACAAGATGAGAACAAAAGTCACTGGTCGACGTAAGCTCTCGACCTCTGTAAGTAAGCATGGCCTAACTAAACGTAAGTCAGAAGCTTTACCCAAATCTAAGTCAGATGATATTACCACTCAGTCGTCACCCGCTGTAATTGGTCGGCAGCTTAATCTGTCTGCACTTGACCACTGCAATGACTTTATGCTAAAGTTTGGCACTTTTCTGACAATTCTTGGAAATTTATTCGACGGGAACATCTCCGATATTCCCTCTGAAGAATGTAGGCGTCTCGACTCACTTGTTCACCTGATCGCCAGTGAATCTAGTGATAGACAGAAGCGTTCTTACAACTTTCTGTTAAAAAATGTTCCTCGATCTGCTTGGCCAATTGATGTTGCGACCAATTTCCTGTATTCATGTGGTTTCAACTACAAAATAGCCGATGCCAAACGCTTGTCCTCCCGTAGCAAAAATCCACCCATCTTAATCAAATTATTTTCATCAATCGAGGTTGACACAATCTTTGCCCATCAAGGGCGTGTCACTGCGTACCTAGAGAAGGCAAAATTTTTCCTTTGTCATGATCTTACTCCTATGGAGCGTAGAATCGGGTCTCTGCTCTCACGTAAACCCACTGCTTCTCAGTCTAATGCTCCCCAACTCGGTCATAATACAAGTGGCCGTAAAGATTCAGCTTTTCCTACTCCTGCGACATCTGACTTCCTCCTTCCCCTTTCTCCTACATATCCATCTCACTCAAGCCACTTGACGCATTTGCCTGCCCCTAAACTAGCAGCAGCCCCATTTGTAGTTTCGTTTCCTCCTCCGGATAGCCCCGCCGATACAAATGAAAATCCGTCTACATCACCTAGACCGATAACTTCTCTTGTCCGGCTGGGTGCTGAAAGCTCTACAGTTAAGTCACCCGTGGCATGGCGTCAGAACGGTGAGACTCGAAAACTGAATCAGACTCCGACCCAAAAGATAGGTAGAACAGTTCCATTTAGGGGTACGACGCCTTCCCTTAGATCTAACAAGTCTGTTCAGCCCAGCACGTCTACAAACCCCGCAGCTCCAATTATATCCCCGAATAATTCTTTGTCCTGCGTACCGGTTACTTATTAAAGCCCTACTATATATCCAGCAACTAATTCATGCATGAATTGCCCTAAGTCATTTATGCCCCAACCTAGTTCAGACGTCCCACCACTTAAGGCCGATTGCTCTCAGGTACGTCAACCTACCTCCTTTGCCATCCAACCTAGATATGGTCTCCAAAACTTTTATTCTTATAGCTGCCTACCCTCACCCAATAGGCACTACTTTTCTTCTAGGCTCCCTCCTCCTCCCCTTCCTCCACTATTTAACTACCAACAAGTCCATCCATATTCTAACTTCCCTAGCATTCCAATGTTCGAAAACTATATCCCCACATCCTTTAGGTCTCATACTCAGTATTCTCTTGTTGACTCCCCGTACGTCAATGACTCAACTAAATATTGAAGGTCACTCCATAAATGTGCCCAGGGTTTTAAAAGATCTGGGCATATCATACTCCAAGAGTCTCAATCTCTCGGAGCACTGTGCCTTGATAGTCTCCAAAGCACGCAGAACGACCGGGTTTATCCTCCGAAATTTTAAAACTAGGGACATTAGATTGCGCCTTTTCAACATGTACGTTAGACCTGGCCTGGAATACTGTTCGTTTTCATTTAACCTCATGCGTGCTACTGAGCGGAAGAAAATAGAATCCGTTCAACACTTTTTTACTAAGAGAATTTTAACCCCGGAACACCGACATTTGTCTTACCAAGAACGTTGCCGGCTTATGGGCCTTGATCCTTTATGGTGCCGTAGATTACAAAAGGGACTATTTTTGCTATTTAAACTCTTATATAATCACACATTTAACCCACTCACTTCTTTAAGACATCATATCCACCCACGACGTAACAGTCACCGTGAGGTCTTTTTATTTCTGCCTCTGGCACGTACTGTTAAATATCGTCGGTTCTTTTCTGTAAATGCAATTGCTATTTGGAATAAACTACCCATGAGTGCGAAAACTCTGCAAAATTATCCTTTATTTAAGAGAACTATTACTCGATTTTTGCATTCAGAAAAGCTCCCACAAATTTTGGGCGCTGAAAACTCTGATCGACTGTACCGTAGCGATGGCGTTTGTGGTCTCTGAACACTATGACCGGTCTCACCAGCTGTTCCTCAACGCCTCTACTTTGGCTATCCCCAACTATTTGAAAGGAATTTGACGTCCGATGATCTCCGATACCGTGCAACCTCCCCCCTTCTTGACGGTCGATATTCTACCACCGCCGGCAGTTTTTTCTCCTGAGCCCTCCAAACCATAAAAACCACCATCAACTATATTTTTATCCCTTTAGCTCAGGAGTTTTTTCACTGCCGGTCGGACTTATGTTTAAACGCTTCCCTTGACAATGCCTGTAAACTGGCATTAAATAAAAATTTATTTATTTATTTATAACTGGTACTTATTCTCCAAGTGTCATTAATTCACAGCTTACATATCCACGTCCAAATTATTTCCTAACTACCGTCGAAACTAGCATTACCGTTCGAAACACGTAAGATATTATATTATTGAATGCCTGGTCAGTTATAAAAAAGATGGCCCAAATAGAGCCATTGCTCTGGAAATGACGCCAGATATTATATGTGTAACAGAATCTTGGACCCATTCTCTAATTCCTGACTTTGCCCTTATCAAAGATGACTTCGATTTTTACCGTCAAGACCGCACGACTAGGCGTGGGGGTGATTGTCTTCTTTATCTTAAATCCTTCCTAAAGCACTCTCCCTATTAATTGGATGTTTCCTCATTCACGGGAAACTTCTGCTTTGCATCTGTTATTCTCTCGGCGCAAAGAAAGGCAATTATTGGCTGTATCTACAATACCCCAAACTCTTCAGCCAGTTATGATACACAAATCTCCAAAATCTTTTAATTAATTTCGGTAGCTACTTCCGATGTCGAAGTAATCACTGGGGATTTTAACCTTCCTGAAATAGACCGGGTTTCCAATATCTGTCCACCTAGATCCCAGCCCTTCTAAGATGTTGTCGATTTTTCTAACTGGTCTCAACTGATGCGCTCTTCAACAAGAGATAATCACGTTTTAGATCTAATCTTTACCAATGACATTGCCCCTCTTTTTGTTTCTTTCAAAAAGGACCTCTTTGCCAGTGACCACGTATAAATTCATTGTTGCTTACCGCTTGCCTTTTCAAAAAAGACCAGCACTGTTCGGATTTACATGAACTAGGACTTCGTAGATAACGACTTCATAAATAACCATATAAGATCATTGGATTGGTGTGGCTTCCTCACTTGTAGCGATTTAACCATTATTCGTAATGTCATGTCCAATGTTTCCAAGGACATTCTAGAGTTTGTGCCGCGTAGATATCTCAAGCCTAATTCTTCAGATTCCCTTGTTCCTCATTTTTTTTTACAACAGACTAAAAAAGTTGAGGCGACAGCTGCGTGACCCATCCGCTAGTTCCTTATCAGTTCATCTTAGAATCACAGAGATTTTTGAGATGGCCTCAAGGATGCGCCAAGCGCGCGACGAGCAAACAGAATCCATTGCTCTCAGTGATCCGAACCCTGGCATATCCGTCGCTAACATCTTCCGTCATCGGTCCCCCTCTAAGCGTGGTCACGAACAGCCACCCCCGCTAAATGATAACAAAATCTTCCTTATCGATGGCACTGACAAGGCGGAGTTGTTTGCTGCTTCCTTTGCAAAACACCTTACTACTGAGTCCGAACCAGTCTCTCTCTTTCGTTCCCTTTCAGATAAGACACTGAGCACAATCGATGTCTCCTCAGATCTCAGTAAGAAACAAATAAGTCGTTTGAAATACTCACACTGCTCAGGAACGGACGGGATTCCGAATTCGATTATTAAACAAGCGTCCGACTTTCCCATATTGCTTAGTCATTTATTATCGGTTTATATTTCAAAAGGATTCTTTCCTGAAACATGGAAAACGTCAATTATCCTTCCCCTCTCCAAGTCACTCGGTCCGATGTTAATAACTATCGGGACGTGCACAAAACGCCGTCTCCAGCAAACCTTCTTGAAAGGATAATTTTCAATGAAATCCTTGACTTCCGTCTAGCTAATCGGCTTCTGAGTTCTAGTCAGCATGGATTTTTGCCTGAACAAGCCTGCGAAACATGTCACTTGGCTTTTCTTAATCTAATCACTTCTCTTCGTAATGAGCGGCAGTCAGTGGTAGTTATCTACTTTGATCTTATCAAAGCCTTTGACAACTTGGCCCATAGACGTCTTTTAGTAAAATTGGAAGCACTCGGTAACCGACCGCCTCTACTCGACTTCATCACTTCCTATCTGTGCAACCGATATCAGAAAGTCATGGTCGGTAATAGCTACTCGACACCTCACTCGATCACGAGTGGCGTACATCAAGGTACGGTTCTGGGTCCGCTACTCTTCCTTCTGTACATCCATGACATTTCGGCTGAACGCGGGAATTCGCAAACTTTTATTTATGTTGATGACCTCAAATGTGTTTGCTCATATTCCAAGGACACCGCAAACGTTTGTGTTGACAAAATTAATGCCGATTCACTACGCTTAAGCAGATGCGATTCGACATGGCAGATGGAGTTTTCATCATCCAAGTGTAGTTTCGTGTCTTTTGGTCCTGCCAAACTTCCTGGTGCCAGAATTTTTCAGAATAACCCACTCTCTGAATGCCTCACCACTAAGGACCTAGGTCTAAGTTATACAAATAAGATTGCTTTATCATTTCATGCAGATAGAATCTCTGCCAAAGCCGCGCAGATATCTAGGTTCATATGGCGTTATTTTTTCATTCCGAAAATGAAGCTAAGACTTTGCCAAATGTTTGTTCTTCCCGTTCTCGAATACTGCTGTCCTTTCTTTGGTTTAATGAACGCCCGTGACCGTAATAAAATCGAAAACGTTCAGAGGGATTTCACCCGGAAACTGTTCTTTCAAGTCGCATCCGGTACTTCTTATACTCAGAGATGTCAGCTGGCGAACATTAAGTTTTTGTGGGTTAAAAGACTCGAAGCTGACCTTTGCTTCCTTTTTCGCATCAACTCTAGCTCCAATCTTCCGCTCATTGACACTCTCACTCCGAGAGATCGGTCTTATGCCATGCGCAACTCCTCCATGGTGATTCCGCCGCCTCTTTGCATTACATCCAAGCGCTCCCTATTCTTTGCTTCCAAATATGCCTTCCTTTGGAATAGTCTTCCGCCTGAAATTAGATTATCGCCTAAGTTACTGGTATTCAAGTCGAAATTACGCAAACATCATACACCGGAAAGCATAAAGGCACTGTTAACGGTCTCATTCTCGAACACTCAGATTCTTGACTTCGAGAAGGGTCCTCCTGAGATTTAGTGGTAGATCAAGTGGTAACTCTTAATTATATCATTAGAAACCCCCTCTTTTAAATTGGTCTCTAAATTCACTGATATCACTCCTCCCCCATAGCGGCAATTTTCGCGGTTTTTGTTGTCATCTCCCGCATTTTGACCTCAAGCGGTCTGTCGACGCTTACGTCGGAACCCTCTGATAATACGGAAAATGTTTGCGTTGTACGTATGTATTCGCTGGGTTAGAACAGAGCCCATGAAGATCCTTTTTGCACAATGGCTATGCATATATGCATCCAAAAAATTTGCAGACATTAGGAATGCGATTGGTTTTCAATAGAATATAAAAACAAGGAAGCACATCTGTTCACAGTGAGTCAGTACGGAAATATTGTAAATAACAAAGTGTTTTACAAAGCTGGCTGTGAGTGGTCATGCTGTAAAAGTCGGTCTTTGTGTAAAATCCCGCAAGCGAGTTTTCCTTTAAACCTGTGAATCGTGTCGGCCTTCACCATCTCACTTGATGGCGAGTTCCATGGCCGAACTACCTGCTGGCTGGAAGAAAACTTCCTAGGACAAGCCGTATGCGTTCGTTGTTGACTTTTCAGGGATGGCCGCGTAATTGGTTTGTACGGGTACACTGAATGAAGACCTTCGGTCTCATTAAGCAACCACGACCTCGAAATAAACCAAACATTTTCAGCCTCTCCTGGTACGGCAGATGTTTTATACCGTTGATCATCTTCGTTGCTCTGCGCTGCACCTGTTCGGGGAGGTCGGTATACTTTCTCATCCATAATTTAATTGCTGTCATCCCATATTCCAGGCGGAGTCTTACGAAGACGCCGAAAAGCATTCTGAAGAGATCGGGAGGCAGTATTTTAAATGCACATCTGACCCATCGTAAAGTACTAATTTCCTTCTAGACTATCTTCCGTCAGTGCTCTTACTGCGTAAGATTTGTGGTTATCCACACACTGAGATCTTTGTGTCTTTCTACAGTTTCTGGTACCATCCCGTTGATATAGTGCTGAGGTTTGGGAGAGGCATGTCGGCTGGCGTTTAGATGCAAGACCACACAATTGGGCAAGTTAAACTTTAAAAGCCACCTGTTCGACCAAACACACAGTTTGCCGGTGTTCGATTGCAACTTCTTTGCGTAATTAACGCAGCTGACTTCGCTCCATATTTTTATGTCATCCGCGAACATGAGGGCCTTGCAATCTAGTTCGCTAGTGCAATCATTTACCTAAACCAGGAAGAGTAGTGAGCCTAAAACAGAACCCAGTGGCACCACATTTTCCACTTTTGCTCATTCTGAAATAGCGTTATCCGCAATGACTCTGTACTCTGGAAGACAGGAAACTCCCAATCCACTTAAACATTCTTCCATCAAGTATTCCATCGAACGTCTTTTGATACTGCACTCCGTTACTTTAAATGCGAGGCAAGTTAGACTGGCAAGACGATAATCTTCGCAGTCAAGTGGTGTACTTCCTTTATCGATCGGGGTGATGAATGCGCACTTCTACTTTTCCGGAAGTTTGCCTTCTTCAAATGACCTTTGAACTATTATAGACGGAGGTTCACACAGTTCGTTTGAAAGTTCTCGAAGTGCTGGTACCGGAATTCTATCCGGACCGGGCGATTTGTATATGTATATGTATATTGAAGGGTTACAGGCAGAGCCCTTGATGACCCTGTTTATGTACAGTGCTTTCGCAGATTCATACTCAAAAATAAAATAAAATTGCAGGCATTTAAAATGTGAATGGGTCACAGTTCAATCGTAATCATAAGGTAGTGCATGGGGTCACTGTAAATTAGTGCGGAAGATTGTATATGACAGATTTTACAAAACTGGCTGTGCATAGTCATGCTGTACAAGCCGATTTCTGTCGAAAACTAGACGAGCAAGTTTTCTTTTAAACACACAAACTGTGTCAGCCGTCACCATCTCGCTTGGCAGGCTTCAATCGGGGTACTTCGGCCCTAACTATGGCCGATGGAAAGTGTAGTGCCTCGATTGAGGAGGATAAAAAGGGGGTTAGACGGGTGAAAGTGGAGAGGAAGTAGGAGGAGGCGCTGCTTGGCGAACGGGTGAATGGGTAAATGGAGAGTCAGGCCCTCGGATGAAGACGGACTGAAAGAAATTAGAAAGGAGAGACGCTTTAACCTGGTCGTCAGTCTCCAGTTTTCCATATGCAGTCCTAAAGGATGAAAGTACCGCAAAATATAAAAAACCCCCGTACTAACATAGAAGGAGGAAATTGACAGGACAAAGCTCGTGGCCAAAGGAGGGCGCAAATCTCATCTGTAGTTTACAACATTTGGGTTTAAGTGAATAACAGAAATGGCAAGAGAACTTTTCCGACGCCGGAGCATATCCTTTAATTGTCACTTAAATTGGAGAGACTGCACCCGAAAGGGGGACAGCAAATATCTACTAGACATACAAGTTTGGGGCTCAAACCAGCATCGATAATTGTCTTCCCACCACTCTAGCCTGCATCTCTTGTAAAATGATGAAAATAATACTTCCGAAATCAACAGAGAAGTTCTGGAGGAGAACCACATTCTCTAGGTACTTAAATGCGGCTACAGATAAAGCTGTTATTGCCTTCTCAATTTGTTGCTCGCGATTGAGCAGTGGATTCTTGCATTGAAGGAAGATGGTAGGGTTAGCACTATCTACACTGATGCCAGTAAGGCTTTCGGCGCAGACTTTTAGTTAAAAAGCTCTCTGAAATTAAAATAAGAAGCATACTGCTGTTATTTATAGCGTACCATGACAGTTGTCAGGAGTAAGAACCAATAAAAAGTTTCAAGAGATCAAGAGATTATATTGCAATGCTCTCCGAGTATTTCATGTTCTCAGAGTCTGACTTACCTTAACAATTGGAAACAAATATCTGGAACGGAGAATTTTCCAGCATACGAGTGAAAGTCTCAGCAATGTCGTAAACTACCGCACTGCAGGTAGCAGTTAACGAATACTGCAGGATGATCAGTTCGTTAGTTAGAAGAATCAGTGATCAAAATTGCAAACTCAGCGGAAAGGAAACAGACAGCCGTCCACCGTGGATAAATCGCGAACTAAAAAATCACTTTTGAAGGAGAAATGGCATGTGGAGGCATTTTCGATCAACGGGAAGTTCCGAACATTTGCAGGAATACAAACGACAGCGGGACGTGTGTAAAAGTAAAGCTAGTAGACTTCGAAGGGACTAGGAGCTATGCATACTGCAGAAGTATTTGTAGCACCCCAAGATCCTATACGGTTACGTACATAATGGCAAAAGAAATCGTAACACTATTTCGGCGCCGGGGACTCAAAACAGAGTAATGAGAACGGATGGCTACACGAAAGCATCAGTCCTCTCTGGTTTATTTCAGTTGGTATTCACTCATGAAACGAATTCTCTTCATCTCCTGTGCCCACAAAACAACAAAATTCTGCTCCGTTTGGATTAGACTATAATCCATACTTATCGCCTACATCGATAAGGATAGAAGTCCTCTGATTGAAGCCTGCCAGATAACTTGGTCCAGATATTCATTCCCTTGCCCTTCGGGAATTGGGCAATGTACTGTGCAAGCCGGTATCTGTGTTATTTCAAAAATCTATGAAAGAAGATGAACTGCCGGGGAAATGGAAGACTATCTTTATTCCCCAGATCTGCAAAGAAGGGTTCCGGCTAAAGTCCAAAAACTTCCAACGCATTAGTTAAACGTGAGTTTTCTGCAAGGTCGTGGAACGGCTTATTTATGAATATCTAATTACCTATCTGGAATTGAGAAACGCATTATCTGCTGCCTAGCAAGATTTCGCCGAGGTCACTCATGTCTTACGAGCAGACTTTAATCGCAGAAAAGTAGCAAAGGCCACAGGCCAGGGTCGTATAGTTGATGTTATCTTCACCGACTTAAAAAAGGTGGTTAATAGAGCGCCCCGCGGACAACTCCTATAAAATATTAGGAAGTTTGGAATCCCCATCAACATTTTAAAGTGGACTAAAAGTTTCCTATTATGCGGGCTGCAGAGAGTAATTGTTGGCACTACTGCATACGAATGGTATCAGTAGATAGCGGTGGTGATACAAAAATCTGGAAAATAATAAGGCGTGTTTACGATGCGCATAAACTGCAGGAAAACTAATAAATTGGTTGCCTGAGCAAGAAAGTGGTTTTTAACGTTCAGTTTATCCAAACATGTAGTCTTGTGCCTGAAAGCAGGTTTTATTTCAGTCAGCAGATAGTTCGATCGTAGAACTCACTCCCAAATGAGAAAATGACATCTGCTACCATGGTTGTATCAAAACACAGTTGGATTGTTTGATTTCTGATAAGTAACGGATAACTGCAGGATTATCTACGACCAACCACGAACTTTACTTCCAAATTTCACTCCCTATCTGACGCATCCTGGTACGACCAATGTAACAAGTTCCCGTAAGCTGTACAAATGATCGAATTTTTGGCTGTAGTTTCTTCCTAGTCCGTGTTCCCAAAGTAACGTCTTTATGGAGAAACATGTCCGCTACCCACTGTGGCAAGTTGTAACTAACATTGTCTGACAGGCTCTGCGCGGCTCACGCTTGTTATTTAAGACCAGGAAAGTTAAAATCCCCAACAATAAGAACGTTCTACTCGCTGAATTGTACAGTTCACGAGCAAGAAGAAGGAAAGGAAAATCAGGGTCAGACTCCTAATGTGGAGAGCGAGATGACACCGACAGCGTTTGCAGTCGGATGTTGTTGGTGGTAGTAGTAATGCTTAACGGTTCCATTTCCTTTATCGGGACATCTACGTAGGTGTTATGGGTTAGTTCGCATGTAACATAAACTGTAACCTTTTCTTTGAATGGTCTCCCTCTTCTGCAGTGTTCATATCCCCTGAGGGTTGCAGCGTATCCTGTCCGGGCCGTCAGGGCATCATGCCACAAACGCGTGACAAGCGAACGATCAAGGTCATGATCCCTATTCACACCTTCTTTTTGCTGATTGGCCACCCATCAGCCTATGACAGTCCTCCTTGCCATATGCCCGGCCGTTTCCCCAAGCCTCCTCACATGTGCTGTCTATCGTACTCAGTACACGTCCTATTCCCAATTACCCTTCTGTTTTGCATACATAACATTGACGACGCAGTCTGACGAACATGTCTTCATTGCTGCCTACACCGTTACCTTTATGACCAAAGAACACCCAGAAGCCCTCAAATGACTCGTGGTTGCAATGGAAGAAGACATTTGAGGATTATATTGAACTACTCCCGATTTTGTCACCCACAATGGTACTAGACGTCCCATCTACGTTGAAACCCCTCCGGACGAGTCTCGGAGAGTTGGGACAAAGATATTTCGATGCCCTCAATCTGCAAGAGGCTATAGATCTCCAAACAGCCTTCTCAAAACTCGAGTCAGCGTGGGGAGAAAAAGACAACGTCTTTCTCAGTCGCTATCGGTTTTGTCAAATGCGTCAAGAATCCAGTCAATGTGTCAGTGATTTTATTTCTAATCTGACTCTGGCCTTCCAGGACTGTGGGTATAAAGAGATCAAGGCAGACAACTTCGATCACGCAATGGTCGTTCAGCAGTTGATCGTCGGTCTGCGCGATAAAAAAGCTCGGGAAAATCTCTTATCAGAGAAGAAGGATCTGTCATGGGAGAAAGCCTGTGATATCGCGAGTCATCGGGAGCGCCTACGACAAAACCTTCAGCAGCTGAATCAGTCAAACAATGAAGTGATAGCATCACTGGAATCTGAAATGGCTGTCTCCCTAGTCAACACTGCTGTGTCTTCACCAAAACAGCGACCATCAGCTCCCTCAAAACAATTACCATCCTGCTACCGTTGTGGTCAGCATCATATCCGGTGTTCAGATTATAGACACCAGAAGACGGTAGGCCAGTTTTGCAAGAAAATCGGCCACATCGAACGAGTGTGTTTCTCCAAAAGACGAGCGAACACTAACACGCATGCGACCTAGCCTTATCCAGCTGGGGATGGCGAGGCGATACTCCGAATGTTTTCGGCCAGCGCGCTACTCCAATCGCCCTACACCATCACGCTTCCGGTTGATCACCACCCAGTGAAGTTTGAAATCGACACTGGCTCAGCTGTTACTCTCATCAATGAGGCCTCTCTTCAGAAATTACCCTCCCTCTTTCCGGCTAGCTCAACATTCCGTAGTTATACTGGACAGAATGTAGAGGTTCGAGGGGTCTTTACAGCCGAAGTCGAGCATGATGGAGAACTTCATTATTTGCCGGTTCACGTGGTGAGAGGAAGTCAGCAACAAAATCTCCTCGGATGGAATTGGATTAAATGTGTGCCTTTTGTGCTATCCTATGTACATCGGATTGGTGTAAATCCGGCTTTAGATTCAATTTTGGTAAATCATAGGGATCTATTTCGTGACGATTCTGCTACCCACTACCGCGGTCCACCTGTTAAGTTCCAGTTTCAGTCAGATTTCCGGCCCCGGTTTTTCAAAGCTCGTACAGTCCCCTATGCAGTCGCACCGAAGGTCGAAGAAGAGCTGGATCGCCTACAGAAAGCGGATATTATTGAGCCCGTGCAATATTCGGAATGGGCAGCCCCAATAGTTCCTGTTCTTAAAACCGATGGTTCTGTGCGTATCTGTGGCGACTACAAGCTGACAATCAACTCAGCAACTAAACTGAACCCCTATCCTCTCCCGCACATCGAGGATCTGCACGCATCTCTCTCGGGTGGTCATCAATTTACAACTTTGGACCTTAAGCATGCCTACAACCAAGTCGTCCTAGACATTGAATCCCGGGACGCTAACCCACCATCAATACTCATGGGGGTTTATTTCAATATAAAAGACTACCCTTTGGAGTAAGTTCGACCCCAGGTTTATTTCAATGCTTGATTGATAATCTCGTGATGGATATACCCCACGTTTGCGCATACCTCGACGATATATTAGTCACCAGCCCATCTGAACATTGTCATCTAGAGACTCTAAGCATAGTGTTAGGACGTTTAAAAGAGGCAGGTTTTAAGCTCAGGAGAGATAAGTGCACTTTCCTTGCCGACTCAGTAGAAGACCTGGGCTTCAGGGTGGATAAAACTGGCCTCCATCCACTCGAACATAAGCTGAAAGCCTTGAAGACGGCGCCGCGCCCCGACAATACTGGTCAATTGCGTTCATTCCTGGGGTTGGTCACCCATTTCAGTCGATTTATTAATCAGTCGGCTACGATTCTAAAGCCTCTTTATTGGCTATTTGAAAAGAATCGTTGCTGGAACTGGTCGGAGGTCGAACAAAGTACTTTTGAACAAGCAAAGGCGGCTCTTACCTCCTCATCTGTCCTAGTTCATTATGACCTCGAAAAGCCCATCATACTGAAATGTGATGCGTCTCCGTACGGCGTAGGTGCGGTTCTCATGCACCGAATGCCTTCTGGTGCGGAGATGCCGATTGCCTTTGCATCAAAAAGCATATCACAGGCGGAAACCAACTATTCGTAACTAGATAAAGAGGCCTTAGCAATAATGTTTGGCATACAACGCTTCCAACTGTATCTTTTTGGCCGACACTTTGAGATTCACACTGGTCAAAAACATCTCTTAGGTCTGCTGGGAGAAAAACGAGGGATACAACAGATGTCCTCGCCGAGAATGCAACGATGGGCGCTCACCCTGTCTGCTTACACGTATGCAATGAAATACGTTACAGGTAGTGCGAACGTAGTGGCTGTCGCCTTGAGTAGGCTTCCTATTGTGGACGATGGCATTAACGGGGCACCTGTCTTTAAGACCGTAAATCTTTCGCAGAACCTAGTCAACGCAACTGTAACATGTCAACAAATTCGACAGTGGACTTCGAAAGACCCTCTCCTAAGTCGGGTAAAAAGAGCCTTACAATCTGGCTGGCCATCCTCTACCTCCCCTGATTTTCAACCATTCTTCAGCCGTCAGAACTAGTTAAGTCTACAAGACGGATGCATACTATGGGGTAATCGTGTAGTTGTGCCACCACAAGGCCGACGGGCTATCCTCAGAGACCTGCATAATGCCCATCCTGGTACAGTTAGAATGAAAGCTCTCACCCGCAGGTATGTTTGGTGGCCCAAAATTGACGCAGATATAGAAAACGTGGTGAAAGCATGTCACGTGTGGCAAATAACACAGGAGACCTTACCGAAGGTTCCTCTAAAGCCTTGGGCCTGGCCCGACTCGCCGTGGAAGAGGGTACACGTCGATTATTTTGGGCCATTCCAAGGCCATATGCTTTTGGTGGTAGTTGACGCCCACACTAAATGGATTGATGCGATTCCGACTGCAAATCATTGTTCTTCACGGACTACCATCAACAAGTTGCGAACTGTTTTCTCTACTTTTGGGATACCTGAAATGCTCGTTTCAGACAATGGCCCGGCCTTTATTAACGTAGAATTTAAAGATTTAATGGAGAAAAATGGAATTAGACATTTAACTACTGCCCCGTTCCATGCTGCTTCTAATGGCCTCGCAGATCGTGCAGTCCAGACAATAAAGCACGGACTAGCTAAACAGCCAGACACGGACGTGGCCACCAAGTTGTCACGCTTTCTGTTCGGCTATCGCATAACACCAAACGACTCAACTGGTGCTTCGCCTGCAGAATTGATGTTCAAGCGGCAGTTGCGCACACGACTCGACCTGCTTAATCCATCAACGCATGATAGAGTCATGGCAAAACAGACGAAGATGAAAGCACGATATGATGTGAACACCCGACCACGAGTCGTCGCGCCTAACGAAAGTGTCTACACGCGACTGGAACACGAAACGAACTGGTGTACAGCGGTAGTTCGAGCAAGCGAGGGGCATATAGTGGAATTAAAATTAGAAGATGGGAGAATTGTGCGTCAACATATGGATCAAGTTCGCAGCCGAATGGACACAGCAAGTGGAGAGTTCGGAAAGTTCGAACTGCCAGCAACCCTTGATACGGATCCTGACATCCCGAGGACTGAACACCTACTGCCTGCACAGAGCACTACGCCCCCGACCGAGGCGTATGTTCCTCCTCCTCCTTCTGCCCCGGTCAGCACTAGCTTAGGGGCAGAGGAGCCAGTGACTGCACAAAGCGACGCAGAGGTTGAAAATACTGCCCTGAGAAGATCGCCCCGAATCTGCAAACCTGTCCAACGCTTTCAGGACGAATCTTATTAGAACATTGTCTAACTATCCATTAGTACCTTTACTGTTCCCCCGGGCTGTCCGGGCCGTCAGAGCATCATGCCACAAACGCGTGACAAGCGAACGATCAAGGTCATGATCCCTATTCACACCTTCTTTTTGCTGATTGGCCACCCATCAGCCTATGACAGTCCTCCTTGCCATATGCCCGGCCGTTTACCCAAGCCTCCTCACATGTGCTGTCTATCGTACTCAGTGCACGTCCTATTCCCAATTACCCTTCTGCTTTGCATACATAACAAGGGGTATTTCGAAGTCTGCGATATCTGGAGCCACCTCTTTTTGAAGGCATTATGCGTGGTTCTGTTTCAACAAATAAGTTTCTAAGTTCATGCAGTTTGTGCGAATCGGTGCAAACATTCCTATTTCTGGCTTCACTTTCCAGAATGATCTTCAGGGGCCTTGCTGATGATCTCATGTTACGACCTGACTTTGATTCTGCCACTCGTTAGGCTTATTATGTGGCGATATTTCCCCTATCCTGCAGAACAATGTTCGCATAATAATTAGGAAGATATAGGCTGTGCTCTACCTTTTCCTCTGACATGAATGATTTGGGCTCTGGAATGACACTGGTAACGACATCCCGCTTATAATTTATACTCGAGTCCTTTGTTTCCGCGTCTGTGCTAGCTCGGTTCATCAACACTGCGATGTGGGATTTAGTATGATTTTTTGAAGAAATAGATGGGCTCACCGGAACGGGTTTATTTTGGTGCTGACACTTCGAAGAGCTTTGTCGACTCCCCACTGTAAAATTAACAACAACTTGAAGTCTGGAGGGCTATTTCTAGCATTATAAGTGTCTATGAGGCGGTGTCTCGACAGCTACAGCCCGCCAGAGTAGGCATAGCCCATCACCAGATTTAGTTCGGAATGATAAACCCTCAATGTATGTCGATGACTTGAAAATTGCACATCGATATAAGCCAGCACATCGCAACATCGCGCTTACACTTCTAAGGAGAGACTTTCAGGCCTTTTTCCAGTGGTTCTGGACGTGGCGCCTTTCTCTTTCTTGGCACAAATGCCTGGTTATGGTGACTGGCGACGACCACAAGCCCCTATTAAGTATTGACGGTCACGACATAAATGTGCCTAGGATTATCAAGGATTTTGGCACATAATATTCCAAGAATCTTAATCTTTCAGAGCACTGCGCTCTGGATGTCTCGAAATAATGCAGAACAACAGGGTTTATCTTCCACAATTTAAAAACTAGCGATAGTAGAATGCGCCTTTATAATATATACGTTAGACCTGGCCTGGGATACAGCTCGTTTTCATTTAGCTTCCTGCGTGGTGTTAAGGTAAGAAAATAGAATCCATCCAGCGTTTTTTCTACTAAAAGAATTGTTGTGGGAAGCCGTCATGGCCAGTCTGGCGTCACTGTCAAAGGCCTCGCTGCCTCACGGTCATTCACCCCTTGCAGCGAGCCGTTCCAGACGCGTTAACCTGAAGCCAGTCGACCGACTTCAGCTCGGATACACCTGCGTCCCGGTGTCGCAGGTGCCCATGCGGCCACTTGAACGCACCTCCCCCAGTGCAATCACAACCTAAGCCACCGGGACACCATCCCTTGGCAAATGCAATACACACCGATTGGAGGCTACTTGAGCTTGGTCCATGAGTTAACAAAAATGGTTGGCACCACAGTCCCAGGGACTCTCAGGCATGACTCGACGCAGTCAACACTAGCCCTGACTTTGCTAACGGCCGCTGCCGCCTGAGAGGACAAACCAGATCTCTGCATAAAACAAATCCTTCATTCTTGTAGCTCCTGCTTTTCCCTGCAACTGAGGATTTGGCCTGTCGGTTGTAGCGCTTTAAGCATACACTATTTCCGCCGCTATAGAGTTCTAACCCCAGAACGTCAGAATCCAACGCACCGAGAACGTTTAGGGTTTGCAAACCTTAACCCCCTGTGGTTTCATCGATTAAAATGGGGCTATTTTTACAGTCTAAGCACATGAACAGTCGTACTTTTAATTCGATTTCTACGTTAAAAAAATCTTGGCCATCCTCCACGCGAGGTCTTCTTGCTTCTTATGTTAGTCGCTGTCGTCGTCGTCGTCGTCGTCGTCGTCTTCTTCTTCTTCTTCTTCTTCTTCTAGCACGTACCGTTAAACACAATCGGTTCGTTTCTGTGAATACAATTGCAATCTCGAACAAGTCATTCTGCACGATTAGCTTTTGTTCAAAAGAACTATTACTCGTTTCTTTGTATTCAGAAAAACTCCCACAACCTTTGGGTGCTGAATCTACCGAACTAATCTTCCGTAGCGATGGAGTTCGTGCTCACCGATCCCTCTGCACGGTTTCATCTTCTGAGAAATGGGGCTGAATCTGCAGCCCGCAACACCACGGATAATTCCTTCAGTCGACAGCGAGCAAGTGTTCTCCCATGTAGTGTGTTTGGTACAGTCCCCATTCCATGGAAAGGAATAGAGGCCGCAAACATCCGATATAATATTAACCATTCCGTTTTGGGACTGATGTCATTTCACGGGCTGCAGTTTTTCCCTGAACTATCCAAATTATCCAAAAACACCAATGCTAATATTTACTCTCACAGGAGCTTTTTGTACTGTTAACTCGATCTGTGCTATATCTTTCATTGGCAATGTCTGTAGACTTTTATTAAATGCCACCACCACCACCACCACCACCACCACCACCAGCACCACCACCACCACCACGACAACACCAACATCAACAACAACTACTACTACGACTACAATTCTTATTATTGTTATTATTGATTTTCGAATTGAAAAATTGCATGATGAACTAGACGACGAGAGATTCGAAGGATTGCAGAAATCGTGACCTTCCTGGCAAGCTACACCAGTTGTATGCGCACGTACGAGTGGGGTAGCTGATTGCAAGTTAGCCAACGGAAGAGCATTCCGCCGACTAAAGCTAGGCCCCTGGATACATAAAGCTGTTGGCACACAAGAAATCATGCTAACTTCGACGTTGGACGTATTCTTCCACAAATTGGCACCTGCATTTTCTTTTTGTTTACGTGGAAAATTCCATTGTAGTTTTCGTTTATTTTTTTCACCTAACACAAGATTCTCCTGTTTTTTTTACTATCATGGGGAACGTAGTTTCCTTGGAGCGTTTGTAGCGCGGTCGACAATTAGAACTACAAAAGATAGATACAGGAACAATTTAACTCTAAGTGGGGGCGCCGCGTTTCTTACAAAATTTACAGCAAAACAACATGGGAAAAATGACAAGGAGAAATAATTGTACGGACTCACAAAAAAGGAAGCCCTTTCTGTACATTCCCACGTATGTTTTCTCAATTTTATTGGCATCCTTTAACACATACTTTACATTTCTTTTTGTTTGCCTCGGAAAATTATGCCCTCTATTTTCCCCCAACCCTCGTACTATTTATTTGAATCTCCCGTTTACATCCCGCGCAACTTGATGCTACCCGTCTGACTACACGCCGCATCTTTCTGACTGTACGCCTGGAGACATTTGGTTGTAAGTGTAACATTTAAATCTTGCTAATCATGCCAATTATAGAACCGTATTTCCGTACAATTCTGCACTTATTTACATCGTGTCCGCGTACGGACTGCACGACGTAAGCCGACTCAGGCGACTGAATCTAGACAGGCTAGAGAGCAGCTAGGTTCAACAGACTCTGTGTAAGTAACGCGAACAGGCAACAAATAGCAGTCGAAAGTACTACACAAAGTTAACCAAATACGAGGCTTCAGAAATGGATGAGTCACAGAAATCTCTGTCAGCTCCGGATTTGGACAGATATTCTCCCACGCTTGGAGACAATGACACCATCCTCGAATCATATAAGGAAAAGATACGGATTTTGGAGGAGCAGTTGAAGGAGAAAATTAAATTGGGCAGTCCGAAAGCAGTATTGGATACAACTCCGCTGGAATCAAAGCCCGTTGTTACCGGCGAGTCCTCAGTGGTTGGATGTTCGCCGCCGCTGCCTCTTCTTGATCCAGAGTCTAAGCAATCACGCGTTACTGAACTTAACCTTTTACGACACCCAGAAACTACAAAGGCAGACTCTCATGATTGTTACCAGCGCCCTATGCCCCCTCAGTTTTCCCTTCCACAGCATGAAATACTGTACTTTGACGGAAACCCCCTCAAATATTGGCTGTTCTTAAGAAGCTTTGAGAGTGGAATTGCAAAAAGGGTTAGCGACGACGAAAGTCGGCTCTCTTACCTAATCCACTATTGCCGGGGTGAGGCGAGAGAAGCCGTTGAGAGCTGTGCCCTCTTGGAGCCTAGTGAGGGGTATCATGAAGCTCTCAAGATCCTTAGGCGACGGTTCGGCCAACCCCACTCCATTGCCAGGGCCCACATAGATAATTTGATTGACGGTCCAGTCACAACACCTATGAATCCTACCACCCGGATGAAGCTGGCTGGGGAGATGAATAACTGCAAGAACACGTTACAGCAGTTAGAATATTTAGCGGATTTAAATTCATCTAGGACGCTAGCTGCAATCGTCAGGCGACTACCTCAACCACTTCAGTTCAGGTGGTCAGAATCCGCATAATCAATATTACACCTTGGAAGGGAGCCAACGTTCTGAGATCTAACCGAATTTGTGGACGAGAGAGCCGATGTATTGATGGTACACCAATCCTACTCCTCAGGTCCAGTCCCAGCGCACAGTCGTTCCCCGGGCGATCGAGGAGCGATGCATAAGGCCTATACGCATCACACACAAACTGTAGCAGTATCCACAGTACCTAGAGTCCCGACGCTGCGCCGACAGTGTCTGCAGTGCGAGGAAGCTCATTACACCGATCAATGTGGCATGTTTGTCGCCCTCAACCTGCCACAAAGACTAGCTTTCGTTGAACGTAATTGATTATGCCATTCTTGTTTGAAACCCAACCACGATGCCATCAACTGTAGGTCGCGCAAGACATGTGGTGTCACGCGGTGCTCCGTGCGCCACCATCCAC